ATGCCTATAAGATAGGCATAGCCTTGCTCTTAAGGACTGGTTGTAAGGGAGCCTAGAAATTGCACTTTCATGAAAAATAGCAGGTGGAATAAGATTTGTGTGTATGATATTATATTCAAATATTATGAAATAAATGGAACTCTAGTTAAAAGCTGAGGAGACTAGGTCAAAGAAAATATTTCAAAATTGTGAAAATTGAAAAATTGGAGTATCGAGTAATCATCAAGTATCTGTATTTAAAGGATTTGAGAAATAAGCAATTTAAAATATGCTTAATACCGTTGACGATCAATGTGTTCCGTGTACGAACGTGAAAATATAGATTGTAAGCTTCAAAAGAGTAAAAATTTCCATTGAAGCTGAAGACCGATCGGGAATCGCAAACATCCTCGTATGTTTAATAGTCAAAGCTTCCAAGTTAAGCAGTAGATGCGTGCACAAACCTATAACCCCAGACAAGAAGCTATGACTGACAAATTCCGCAATACCAAAGCTGGGTTGCTAAATGGGTGGAGGTGTGTTCAATGTTTTTAGAACCAGAACTTAGAAGGTGAAAAAAAAGGGTATACAAACTCAAAACTTCGTTGCAAGACGGATCAAAACATGCTCTGTGAAACTAATTATCAAAAAGAACAGCTGTAATAAAGCCGTTATGTGGTATGACAGAAATGTAACAAAACTGCAATATACCGTCTGTAGGCCAAGGTTAAGTGCACTAGGTGGTCACTAGCAGCGGTGTGCTTTATTATAGCTTGAATACCTTATTCCTTACTTTATTTTATTTATTAATTCAAATGATAGTTCATATTAGCTCTTTTACAAAAGAGAAGACCTCAACCAAAGCAAACTTTTGCAATTTATTTGTTATTAATCAATTTGATTCCTTTTACTTGTCATTTATTTCAGTCATCACTATCCTTGTTTCCAGATCATTACGCCTTTGCGATGCTTTACTTAGATCCGCTGAGCTCTTTTGTTTAAAATAAGCCCTAATCCAAAATGGTTACCGAGAAAATTACATCAATAGGAGCATTCACAGGCACCAATCTCCCGCTCAATCACAATCAAAAGACTGAGACCTTCATCACACGAAAGCTTCTCTTCCTTATATGAAAGGTGTCACTGACAAAATCGACAAAATTCTCAAATCAACGGCAATAAAGACAATATTTAACCCTCAAGCAAAACTTTCATTTCTTGTCCAATCAGTCAAAGACAGCATTGCAAATAAACATCACGGATTTTATGTAATTCCTTGTACAGACTGCCCATGATCTTACATAGGTCAAACCAACCATAGAATCCAAAATAGGATTTATGAACATATCATTTTTTTTATAATTCCCATTCAATTTCAGCTCTATATCAACACTATCTTCGTAGAGGCCATAAAATGAATTTTGAAAACTCGAGATAGCGCCTATCCGTTTCTATAAAGCAGAAATTATACGAAAGACCATAGAGATAGGAAAATACCCGAATTGTCTTAGGAAAATATAGTCGTCTTCGTCTACTTATAAATTTTACCGCTTAATGGTGATATTTTTAAGCATGGGGATACCACAAGTAGCATTCGAAGACTGATTGAAAATACCATAATGTTGTCCTCCGAAACTTTGTCAAAATCCGTAAAAAGATTCATTAAAAAACGTTTAGCAGCCTTGGCAAAAATCTCGAGCAGCGAATACATGAAGGTTACTATTTCATCATTCTAGAGTCATTGTGTTCCAAATTTATGTTCAAAATATGTCCAAACCGGTTTGGAGCGACAGCAGTCATGTTAATTTAGGAATAAAAAACTTTAGACAACCAGTAACCTTTGTATTGACATTTTTCTTCCTCTTACTTCTTTCTTTTGTATCATTCTTATCCTTATCCTTTTTTGTTTATCCTTCAAACTATACTTGGTTGCACAGAATGTCAAATCATCATTTTCTTTTCTTTTCTGTCTCTCATAATTTTCTTGGCGTAACCAGTGATCTACTTCCAGTAGGTCTGCTGTGTCTCGCTATTTTAACTATTTTGTCATGCGGTTTAAGTGCCGATTCCACTCATTTCCAGCATCATTTCTTAATTTCTTCAATATATCTTCACTCAGTGTTCTTTGTTTTGTTGGATACTATGCGGAATATTCCCATTTACACTGTTTACAATAATCCTTTTGTTAGATTGGTGTCCGGTGGAGTCTCAGTCACAGTGAAATTCTTATATTTTTTAGCTTGCAGTAGCTGTTTTGCAGCCTGAGTAGCTCAGAGATTATTATATCCGCCTTTAATGCTGAATTATGTGGGATCGATTCCCACTATAGAATTGAAAAATATTGTCAATTGCCTACGGTCAAAATCTGGGATTAAAAACAATTAACAATAGGAGAAAATTCAACTTTTTGAAAATATCTTTGAACATTACTGCGGCAGTTATCATAATAAGGATTTAACTAGAATTAAGATAGGGAAAGCATCATTTTTTAATAATGTGGTGCCACAATAATTCTGTGTAACACTCCTTATTCGATTTCGCATTAAACTAAGCCTTTTGAGAAACTTAATTCATTCCTAAACGAATAACATTAGAAACTTTTCACATGTTCTTGGAGCAGGTATGCAACCACTTACGCAAAATAATTTCAATAGGATTAAATTCTGTGTTATCAGCAGGTCAGTCTATTTTTAGAATAACATCAGCTTAAAGATAATGTGTAAAATTCCTTGATGCTTGTGGTTTTATGTTAAATCTCTGCCTAAATGTTTACTGAGCTCCCACCAAAAAGAACAAGCTGTGAACCAGTACAGACCTTCTATAGACTTTTTTCGACCATCTTTTCTGTAAATTAACATTATATCTCATTAATTTACATTTCTTTTTTAAATCTTCTATTGTTTTGTTTACAGACACACGGAAGTCTGCTTGTTTGTTGAGCAGCTGTCAGTAATGACAGTGTTGCTGGACTGTAATATGTCAAATTCTGTTTCCATAAACTCTGTCAAATAATAAAAACTTTAATTGTTGGACCTGGAGCTTGCCGAAGTCGACTTTGAAACATTTTAACAGTTTGTGTTCAGTCTCTCAATGAAGCAATAGTGAGAATGTTATCTTCTTCTGCAGAGACTTTCTTTAGATATTGATCCAGACTAAACAAATCGTTGGTAAATGTTTTGAACAATATGACTAACATTCGATTGTGTTGCAATGTCTCGTTAACTTCGTTTTCCACAATGTCACAGTCTTTCTATAGTTATTGAAAAATACAGTCCACTGTAGGAAGACCAATGTAACACTAAGATACATATAGAATGCTGTACAAGTTCGGACTTGTAATCAAAATAGTAAACAACAAGTTCTGAGAAAGTTGAGGCATTTACAGCTTTTGGAATTTGTTTAATCTCTCCGCAGGCTCAATCTGGCTTCTCAGAAGAGGTGATCATATAATTAACATAAGAAATAAATAGCTACCAAGTAACTTTGAGTTTCTCCCAAATCTGAAGATCCCCTGTCCCACCTATAAAAACCTAACCTACAAAAATTTCCAGACCTATGAAAACTGTTAAGACAACAATTATAACTGCTACTCTAAAATACTTAATGCAACTGTTTTATTAAGCAATATACCTGCCATTATGGGAAAATTACATTATCTTAGATAAAAATAGTACTAAACATTGTATAAAAGTAGTAAATAGAGTAAATTGACTTACTTGTGTTTCTAGGGAAGCGATCTTATCGCTCCAAGAAGTCTTGATATCGGATAAATGTAAGTGAGCTTCCTCCAGTCTCTGCTCCAAGAGTTTCCTTTCAGAAACGCTTTTGCTATCGACGCCTTCATCGTTGTTATTTTGTCGCAAAATCACAACGACGTCCTGCAGGTATTTCTTCTCCTGTTCACTCTTCGATAGCTCCGACGCCAAATGTGCCAGATCTCTAGACGTGCTGTGCCGCATTGCTTCGAGGTCATCCTACAAGAAAAAGAACATTTAGGTAGTAGTATTTGATCTATATACAACTAACAGCAAGAAGCACATACCTGTGATTCGCCCAGAAGCCCATCAAATAAAACAGTGTGTGGAATACTTCAAAAATCATAAGTAAAACAAACACAAAGTGAAAGCTTGCTAAACTAAATGGTGGCAGATTTACAAAACAGATTTTTTAAACCGCACATTGTAACCGACGATTTTTTTATTAACTTAATATTAAGTAACCAAAGTTACTTACGATAAAAAATAATGAATGTATAATGTTTATTTAAAGATGGAATTAGATACACATGGATGAAATGGAGGGAAAAAAGTGGTGTGTTATTCCACAGAAATGTTGAAATCATACTCCAATATTTCAATATCTAATTTGAATTGGAAATAAGAATTATCAAAATAGCAACACGTAAGTGAATGATTCTTCCTATTGCACGGAAACTTGTGAAGAAATTATTTTAGCGAACCCAACTGCATTAAAAGGTATAAAAGCCAAGAAATTATGGCAAATTAAATAATAACATATTATCTATCAGTCATGAAAAATGTGTATTTGTTTCCATATTTCTTTAAATGATACTTGATTTTATAAAAAATAAACAAACAAAAAACAAGGTTTTAAGAATATGTAACTAATGTTGTTAAAATGGTTACTAAATAGTATATTATAAATACTTTTCGAACAATTTACTGATAACTTAATCTTTTGTTTTCAATTATACTTCAAAATTATACCTCATTGATTATTAGTAGTAAAAAATGTACTCCCAATTTTACTATAATATATAGATAACAGTTTTTAGTCCAAAAAGTTTATTAGGTTTATTGCAAATGCCAATCTAAAGTAAAATAAAAATTTATAATCATAGATATCGATTTAGTTGATATCCACATCTAACAAAATACACAAAACATATTATGTACAGATTATCTATTTCCTCTTCTCCAAGGGATGCATTTTCTATTTAACAAAAAAAACTTAAATAAATAATAAAATTTAATATTAACATAAAATGTATCCCCACATACCTGTACATCACTTAGTATTTCTTCTTGCCTTCTTAACCTCACTACCTCACTTCGTAGCTTCTCTAACTGAGCATTGGCATCTTTGAGGGCAGTGGATTTTTCTAAAATTTCTTGATCTCTTAACAGTACCAAACTTTTCACTTTAGCTAATTCTTGGCATTGTAGATTTTCTAGCTGTTCATTGTTTTCTTTGTGCAATAGTATCTTTGTATTGAATTCTGAAATATACAATGTTTTAAAGGTTTTCAACAGATAATCTGTTGTTCTATAAGTCTCTGATATTTGAATTATACTATATTTTAAGAACTGATATTAAAAACCAAACCAAATATGAGCATAATTTATACAAACGTTCGCTTGAAAACCATAATACTTGTTGACCCAAACGAATTCTGGACGTTCTTTAAGTCAAAATATATGAATAGTGGAATTCCCATAGAAATGGCATTAAACAACTCTTTGTTTAATACACCTTTTGATATTGCGAGTACCTTTACTAAATATTTTGCATCAGTGTATAATACATCTGACTGCACACATTGTCATTCTCAAAGTACTGAATGGGGTTCTTTTATCTTTAAACATATCACAGAATGAGATGTTGTATATAGTATTAAAAAACTTAAACCCAAAAAATCTACAGGCCCTGATAAAATACTACTCTATATCTATAAAGGAATGGCTGAACCCTTGGCTAAACCTCTGGCATTTTTGTTTAACATGTAGATTGAACAGGAATATTTTCCAGATATTTTAAAAGTGGTAATAATTTCTCCAATACATAAAAAGATAAAAAAAATGACATTCAAAACTACAGGCCTACCAGGCGGTTATATAGTATTGCTAAGATTTTTGAAAGTATTCTTTATGATAATATACTTATATGAGCATATTAACAATACAATCAGCAAATTCCTTTTAAGAGACAAATCAGCAGTAATTAATCTCTGTGTTCTCTCTGAACATATTGCTAAGGCTATTGAGGCAGGGGAACAGTTGGATGTTCTGTATACTGATTGTGAAAAAGCATTTGATACAGTAAATCACTGTATTCTTTTAAGTAAACTGGTACAGTTTGGTTTCTCAAGTAAAGCTTTTAATTTATTAAAATCATATTTATCACATAGAAAGAATACAGTAAACATAGGTAATTGCTTTTCTCACCAATATGTGTCATCCTCAAGATTCCCACAGGGGAGCAAACTAGAACCATTGCTCTTTATTTTATTTATTAACGACTTGCCAGACTATATTAAATCTTGTAACAGCTAAATGTATGCCAAGGATTTTAAACTTTTTAAAACAATCTCTAATGAGAAAGGTGCAGTGAAATCGCAAGATGATCTAAGATCAGTTAATCAATGGTTTACTGATTCAAAAATGGCTCTTAATGTTAAAAAGTGTGCAATAGTTTCATATACTTATGTGAAAACTCAATAGTGTTATTGAAGATTATTATATTAATGATGATGGAGTTGAGAGAGTGAGTGTTATAAAGGATCTTGGAGTTAAATTTCAAATTAACATGAAGTTCAATATACACTTTTATGAAATAACTAACAGAACTTATCATGCTTTGGGTTTTGCCATTGGAAATAGCAAAAAATTCAGAATTGAGGGGTCTAACTGCAAAACTCACATTATCACATTTTGGCGAAATTGAGATAGACTCATTTTCTTATTCTCCATATTGGATTACATTAAATTAAAGTCTAAAAATGCCACAAAACACTTGTTATCCAGTAGAAAATTAATGTCAAAAAGTCGAGTTAACTGCAAAACTTACATTATCCACACTTCAATTTACATCAAAACTCACATTTTCCATTCAACCAATAGGAGGCCGCCGCCTGGCTGCGCGCGACCTCGAATCTCGAATGCCGGCGCTATTGTATCAGTTCGTTTGTTTTTGTAACGAGGTTTAACCGTTAGAGTTTGATTCATTTATTCCTCGTGTTTTGTAGTTATTTAAAGATATATTATTAATTACATTATATTAATATATCCATTAAAGCGTAATACACCTAATGGATGCACTAGTATCTCCAGTAAGTGGTGGAGAACGGGCACGAAAAGCTGTTCCAAACCCCGAGAAGTGGAAAAGGGCAATAGTAAAAAAACAAAGGTAGGTTAGATAAATGTGTTTTTACAGCGTAATCATTACTTAAATTATAGATTACATTTCTCTGTTATTTTAAAATGTGTAATGAAATGTGTAATAATCATGTTTCTTTTTTATTAGATATTGTGCTATGGGATTCCCCGACTTTCCTACATGCAGTCATTCACAAGGGGCATTTCATTGCAAGACTTTAACTATACAAGACATTCGTAGGTTTCACCAGAAATTCTACGAAAACAAGGACAAAGTAAGTCAGGATAATTTTATACTTTTGCACATATCATTGGAATCTATTCAAAGCAGGAGACTCCCAAAAAATCCCGCTATAACCAATAAGAAGCAAAAAAAGGCGCAAGAAACAAGAGCCAAATACTTTATTCCAGACAGGGAAAAATGTAAAGTGCCTGTTTGCATGCAGACATTTTTAAAGTGCTTGAAAATATCACGTTTTAGAGTAAATCGTTTATCAAAATATTTTCGTGATAGAATAATGCCAAAAAAAAAAGACGAGGTGGAGACCATACGGGTGATCGCTTTGGTCCTAAAAAGGAAGCAATAATGAAATTTATAAATAGATTTAAATGCAGTGAAACACATTATTGCTCAAACAAAGGGGGCCGTAAATATCTCCCTTCTGAGTTGAACATCAAAAAGTTATGGAGAATATTTTGTGCAGATGAGAAATTTAAAGACATGGAAGTTAAAGAATGTTATTTCCATTACATTTTTAACAGAAATTACAATTTGGGTTTTGGCTCACCCTGTGTAGACGTTTGCTCTACTTGTCTGGAATTGACCAAAAGGATTAAAGTTTGTAAAGAGACCGTTCAGAAAAATAATTTAATGGTTGAAGAAAGAGTGCACAAATTAAGGTCAAAAGCATTCTATGAATTGCTCAAGGAAAACGTAAATGATTTACTGATTCTCTCTTTTGATTGTCAGAAGAATCAACCACTCCCAAAAATTTCTGATCAAGCTACTTACTACAGCAGAAAGATTTATTTGAACAATTTCTGTGTAGTTGCTGGTCATTCTAAATCAAAAATGGGTACCGAAAACGTGACATCCTTTATTTGGACTGAAAATGAGTACCACAAAGGAGCAAATGAAATATCATCTTGCTTATTTTATTATTTAAACTCAATTGTTGATTTGTCACCTTACAAAACCATTAGACTTATTTGTGATGGTTGTGGTGGACAGAACAACAATACTATTTTAATTAGCATGGTGGCATACTGGCTTTCAAAAGCACCAGGTAATATTAAAGAGGTGCAATTGGTTTTCCCTGTCACAGGACACAGCTTTATACCTCCGGATCGTGTATTTGGTAACATCGAAAAAGAGATAAAAAAGAAAGAAAATATTGTTTCTCCAAACGAATACATTGATATAATAAAAAAATATTCAACAGTAAAGATACTCGGAACTGATTTAATTAACATGTGATTGGAAAAATGCCATTATTGATGTCATTAAACCTTCAAGTGGCTGGCACTTTGGCATAAAATTATGCAAACGTGTTTATTTAACAAAATCAGGGCACACTTATTCAGGGAGAATGTAATTACAGAAATAAGTTGATGACTGCAAAGTCTATTGCAAAGCGAGGAAAACGACTGATCGAACTTCAACCCCAAGAAATTGTTAAGGGGAATAGCCTAAAACAAGAAAAGAAAGATAACGTTCAAACATTATTAGGTAAGCATTATGGACAGGACTGGAGATCTCTAGATACACTACAGTTTTTTAAGCAAGCCATTGATAATGAATCTGCAGTCGAACAACAACATGACGAAACAGAAGAATATGAGCTTTTATGACAACCGCAGGAGGAAATTTCTGCTTTTAACATTTACTTTTTTTTTATTTTATTGTAACTAATTTGATGTTGAATGGACATAATAAAATAATAACATAAATTTTATGAATTTTAGTTATTGGCATCTTTTACATATTTGCAATAATATTTCAATCCATAAATCTAAGGTAGAAACCTAGAAACTGATGGTGTAGCTCAAACTCGCTCATTCAGGAATGAAGCAAAACGTACATTCTCCATATCGCTTGGATGCAAAACTCATATTTTTCATTTTTGAACTCAAAACTCACATTATCCAAACTTAAACATTAAAACATATATATTTATAGTCATTTGATTTGTTTTTCACTAGAGCAGGGTATTCAAGAGACCAAAAGCAAATGATTTGTGAAAAATAATCAAGAACATAGGCTTGAAACATAGTTTTTACAGATTTTTGCAATTTGGCAAAATTCACAAAAACAGAGAATGTGAGTTTTGCAGTTAGACCCCTCAATTATAAAACTCTATAATGCCCTGGTGAGACCACATATGGAATATGCTTCAATCATCTGGTCTCTTACTGCATTTTCAAACTCAAAAATGATTGAAAAAGTGCAAAACCGGTTTTTAAGATTTCTATATATAAGGAAAAATAAGAAATATCCATATGTGATCTCATATACGTTAATGTTAGACTCATTTCAGTTGCAGTCACTTGCCACTAGAAGAAACAGTCAAGCCATCATGTTCATATACTTGATTGTTAACAGTATTAAGTACACAAACTGTGGTTTAATTGGGTTTATTTACTTTAGAGTACCCAAGAGTAGGTTAAGGATAACTAACCTAAATCTATTCTTTACAAATTACTATAGAAACATATGGTCCGTCCCAAACCCTTTTTTCAGTGCGTCACTAAATGTGACGTCATATAGGATTTTAAGAATGTCGAAAATTATTGCTTGACATTTTAGTTAAATCTGACAGTTGCAAGATCGTAATCGACTAAATGTAAAAAGGTTATTTTTTTAAATAGATATGTAGTCTTTGTTCTTTCTCGGTATATCTCGGCATATTTAAAATATTTTTATGACAATAAATACAAAATTAAATTTTCACTGTAAAATGTCTGAAAATACTAACCTGGAATGACAATTATCATTTTATCAGTTGACATTGTGAAAGTATTGTCATGATCAGGAGTAGGTGATCTGTGATCAGGATAATCTGCGTCAAATTATATTTATGCACATCATTTATTGGATATCTATTTAACGTATTCTAAACTCCAACCAATTATACATCCGTAAGTAGAATTCGCTTTAATATGCAAATACTCGTGAACGATACATAATTTTCTATGTTCTATGTATAATAATCACAGACTCACGTCTTTTTCTGTCACTTCCAGCTTTATGCGTTAGAGAGAATTCGATCAACTATGACGCACTGAAAAAAGGGTTTGGGACGGACCTTATCAGCAATAAACAATATGTTAAACATTTGTAATGTATTTAATAGACTGACTCATGTGGATATATTTAATGCAAAAAGCTGTGAACTTAAGACATTGCTAGCTCATCAGCACGAGGTTTAAGGGGTTTATTGTATTTTTTTGTCTTAAACACTTTATATGTAATTGCTATTAGTCTATAGTGTTTGTAAGGAGTCTAAATAAATAAAATAAAAAATAACAGATATATTTGCAAATGATATAGTACATAGATAAAGAAAGTATTAGAGTGTTGGCAAACTTACAAGAAAAATATTTCAAATAGAATGGCTGATAAAATGAAAAATTAAAATAACCATAAAACTGGCCACTTATAAGGTAATGACAAATATTTGATATTAAACTTTATAATTAACAAAGAAAATTAATCAAGAAGTAAAGATATGTTATAGAACAAATGAGAATGGGTATATTAAACATGGTAACACAAAATCCATGACTACAAAATTCATAAAGACCTGAAGAAGAGACATAAATACATATTTCGAAAATAAAACAATTGTAAAAACTTTACAGACAAAAAATATATCTAGATTGATTTAAAAATGGGGCAGCTGCATTGATTGCTTGATAACAAATCAAACATAGCATTAAAAAACTTGTAATAAACCGATCTGTACATATTGTACTCTACTTTGATGTCAATAAATGTAATATCACCTCCTTACAATGTTTCTAATCAAATCTCTCCAAAATAATAACTAAAGCCTTGTGTTACATGTATAAAATCATGAAAAATTTACCTTCAGCACTTCTTAAAGATTCTTTGAGGCTAGCTAGCTGGTTCTGAAATTCTTCCCTATCTTTTTCGAGCGACTGTATCCTCTTATCCTTATCTTTTAACAACTCGCGCCATTCAGTTTCTTTATGATCAAGCTTTTTCACAAAATCTGCCTCTAGTTTCATTAACCGTTTTTTGAAGTCGTCCGAATCAATACTACCATCTTCTTTGATGCCTTCTGAGGAAACTATAGAATTTAAGCTGGACGTAGAGCCTTGCGTTGATCTTCCTCTTAACGATTCAATCTTCTGGACCGTGGAGGAGGTAATCTTAGCTGTTAGTTTGGATAAGTCACTCCCTGTTTCTTCGCGGATTTTGTTTTTCAGTGATGTAAACATGGTTCACCGGATTATTTAAAACGGATAAATGTCATTATCATTCACTTTCACATATGTATGTTATAAATACTGGTAATAGGAGGAGTTCATTTTTGTGTTAATAAAATAATGTAAATTGACAACTGGCACATATGGTGTGATGACGATTAAAAGCGTCTATATTCTTTGATTAAAAGGTAAACAGCTGGAACTGACAGTGACACTGACAGTAATAACGTAATAATTCTTACCTCAGTGTAGCCAACAAACAGTTAATATCGGCATCGGCGGCATCTTTGAAGTTTAAATAATGAAGTAATCCAGATTAATCATATTGAAAGGGGGATTTATTATTAAGGCCAGTATAATTGTTTTTCGTTCAATTGTTCAATTTCGTAGTACTTTAAGCTCGCAATCGATTGTTTAATTCGTTTACATTACATTTATTTAGTTTTAATACTACTGTATCATATTCTAACTACGAGGGTTGTATAAAAAATTGTTCCTTGTCTATTCGCGATAGCCAATTCCGACAGGCGCCGCTGAAGATTTTAAAGATGGACGATAACTTAGGGAAAACAAATCATTTTGTCAAAACGTTTAATATAAATCATTTACACGTGTGTTTTGCCAAAGTAAAAGTTGGAGTACGTTCTTCAAAGTTTATTTGTTTGTGATGCTAGTTTATACATAAGGACTCCCAAACCTGAATAAAACCAAATTAAATGTTTATCTTTCTACAGTATGTCTGAAACACGGGAAGTAAAATTTACATTATCTTAATTATTTATATGGTTGCAAGAGACCATTCATGAGACCGTTGGGGCAATTTAGCTGATGGAACGGCATTTTTCTTCAGTCTTCAGTTCTTTAGTTTCAGGTGTTACTATAAAGTAAATATATTAAAATATAAATAATATTTTAATCAACACTTGGAAAGTAATTGTTCTCAGTAAAATGTAAACTGCACACAGTCACGTACTTGGTATATGTTTGCCAATTCACAAAATGCATTGCCACACTTTTCTCACATTCTCGTCCAGCGGAAACTTATGTATGGATTTTTTTTTGTGAATTACAATAGGATAAACATTGAGCAACGCTGCAATAATTTTTTGAAGTCGAAGTTATTGTTAATTGCAATAGGTATAAACCGGTCGCTAATATGTACACAAAGTAATGACAATTTCAATGTTTTCCCGAAGTGGATGCTTTTGAAATCTACCACCAGGCGTCGCCCACTTTGCGGTTCCTCGCCAATACTTCTCAGTAAATATTACCAAAATATTACTTACAATTAACCCTCCAGTACACGCGCTTTATTTTCTTATGTGACTACCAGAGATATTACATATCTCTGGTGACTACACACGTGGATTACATTAGTAACCCATACGTACTGGAGCTCTGGAAAAGCAATATTATTTGAAAATAGTGTTATTGTTTTAATGAGGTTTTAATAATATTACTGCAATCTATAATTAGCTTTATTTGATAAGTACAATGTACATTAAATTAAAAAAAAATAAAAAAAAACAATGAAATAGACAAATACTATAAATCAATACCTTCGGTATTGGTCAAGTCAACCTTGGACAAGTCTGAAAATAAAGTAAAACAATTGTACAGAGAGATTAAGGAGTTAATGAAACTGATCAAGAAGAATCAGACTCTTATAATCATGGGAGATTTCAATGCGAATGTTGATCGAGGACGTGTTGAAGATGTCGTGGGTGACTTTGGTTTGGGAGATCGAAACAAGAGAGGTGATATGCTAATCCAGTTCTGTTAAGAAGAAAAATTAGTCATTGCTAATACCTGGTACAAACTGCCACCTCGCTACTCAACTCCTTACGAATGGAAGAACTACTAACCGATATAAGGACCCAAACACTAGGAGAAGATTGAATTCGGAGACAAACCACCTAGGAACTCCTTTTACACTAAAAGAACTCCACGACGGTCTGAACAGGTTAAAAAACGGAAAACTGCAGGTGTGGATGATATATGCAGTGAACAAATAAAGCATTTAGGCCAAGGAGCAAAAAACTGGATCTTGCAATTTTATAACACGTGTTGCAAAACCTGCAAAATTCCAAAATCATGGAGGAAATCTAAAGTAATAGCCTTGTTAAAACCAGGAAAGGATCCAGAAGACCCCAGTAGCTACAGACCTATTTCGCTATTGTGTCACTTTTTTAACTATACGAGAGACTCATACTCGCCAGAATAGAAAAAAATGTCGACAAGCACCTCATTCACAACAAGGAGGATTCAGACCTGGCAAATCTTGCACCGGTCAAGTCCTCGCATTAACAGAACACATTGAAGAGGGCTTTGAAGAAAAACTTATAACAGGGGCTGCTTTTGTAGATCTGACAGCGGTCTATGACACAGTAAGGCACAAAAGATTGCTCCGCAAATTATACGACACTCTCAATGACCACCATCTGGGAAAGGTCGTATATTCCTTACTGCAAAATAGACGTTTTTTCGTTATGCTGGAGGGTAAAGTAAGTAGGTGGAGAGTTCAAAAAAACGGCCTCCCACAGGGAAGTGTGTTAGCACCAATGCTTTTCAATATATACACAAACGACCAACCTACTCCGATCGAAACCAAGCACTTCCTCTATGCTGACGATCTTGCGATATGTGCTCAAGGAAATAGTTTTGAAGAAGTGGAGGAGAAACTCGAAACTGCCTTAAAAACAATGACAGCGTACTACCTGCAGAATTCTCTGAGACCCAATCCCTCTAAAACTCAAGTCTGCGCTTTCCACCTTTGCACAAAGGAAGCCAAGCGAAAACTCCAAATTGTGTGGAATGGTAATACATTAGAACACACAAACCAACCTATATATCTTGGAGTAACTCTGGACCGGTCGCTCAGCTACAGACAACATTGCATAAAAACAAGAGGGAAAGTAACATCTAGGAACAGCATACTCAGAAAGCTAACGGGAAGTGAATGGGGCGCACGTCCTGGCGTTTTAAGAACAACGGCACAGGCACTGTGTTTCTCAACTGCTGAATATGCGTGCCCCGTTTGGAGGAGATCTGCCCACACCAAACAAGTTGATACTGCGCTAAATGAGACATGCAGGATAGTAACGGGGTGCATGAAACCAACGCCACTTTCAAATCTATATAGAGCAGCGGGTTTTGCAGAACCTTCAACACGCAGAGGCGCTGCAGAACACATAGAGAAAATTAAACAGATCGTGGATGATCGGCATGCCCTATACAAAGCTCGAACACCACGAAAGCGACTAAAATCTAGGAAAAGCTTCCTTGGAACAGTCCAGGATGAACCGCCTGAGCATTTTCCACTTCCCCAGGTTCAATGGATCGGCCAGACCCTAGACTTTAAAACGTGGAAAACCTTGAATAGGATAAGAACGGGGGTTGCTACAGTAAAATCAAACATGGCAAAATGGGGAAAAATAGACCAAGATGATGTGAACTGTGACTGTGGAGAAACACAGAATATGGAACATCTTTTTACATGCAGAAACTGTCCTCATCGATGTACTCTTGAAGATTTGTGGCTCGCCAACAAAGATGGAACCGACGTAGCCCGATACTGGGCCGAAATTTTATGAATGACATGTCCGAACACGATAAAGTAGAGTAAGCCACCTCGGAGACTCTACACCTGGTAGTCTCCCCAACATACGCATGACAACATCGTAAGAAATCAAATTAATTTTTTATTGATTAATGAGAGATACAGAAATGAATTGCAAGGAGTAAAACGTACCCTGGAACAGATATCGGATCTGATTACAATCCCGTCGTAGGAAAATTGAAAATTAAGCTTAAGAAAATTAAAAGCGAATCCATAAAGAAAATTGATATAAACAGCTTAAAACAACCTAACGTTAAACTAGTCACAGAAAAATTAAATGAGGCAATAGCGGATATCACGGCAAGATCTACACAACCGGCTAGTATAGAAGACAAACGGAATTGTATTAAAAAAGCTATCGTAACCACCACCAAGTCTCTGATCGCTTTCCAAAAGTATAAAAAGAAGAATTGGATGACTGACGAAATATTATCAACGATTGATGACCGCAGATCATTTAAAAACCAAGACCGAACTAAAAATCAGCAGATTAACCGACAAATACGAAAAGAGTGTCGCAAAGCTAAAGAACAGTGGCTGCTAGACAGGTGTGCAGAAATGGAGGAATTGGAAGAAAAACATGACCACTTTAACATACATAAACTCATTAAAGAAGTGACAGGTCATATAAAACGTTGCAGTTTTAACAGTATTGTGAAGGACAATAAATTAATTACTGATCCCAAGGATCTACTTAACATTGGAGAAACTACACACAGCAACTATACTCAGACAACACTAGAAAAAACTCTGAAATTGAATATAAAAGTGAACCCTCCCCCAAAATATTGAAGTCAGAAGTTGTAAGAGCAATCAAACATAACAAACGAGCCAAAGTACCAGGCCCAGACGACATATACATAGAGGTTCTGACAATGTTGATTGAAGACAATATAGACGCTTTGATAGATCTTTTTAATGACATTTATGGGTCCGGTCAAATACCACAGGACTGGCTTCAATCAACCTTTACACCAATCCTAAAAGTGCCAAACGCTAATACTTGCAACCAATTCCGAATGATCAGCTTATTGAGCCAGGTCCTAAAACTCTTCTTAAAGATTATAATTCACACAAGAATATACAACAGATGTGAAAGAGACATTAACCCTAAACAGTTCGATTTGAGGCAAGAATTTGGCACAGGACAAGCACTTTATAGCTTAACTCTCCTACTTCAGAAATGCAGAAATCAGCTAAAAGATGTCTTCCTATGCTTTATAGATTACCAGAAAGCGTTCGATTGTGTTAATCATTTAGAATGATTGCATAAGATTGCTCCAGGAAGATAGATGAGAATGACCTTAAAATCATAAAGAACCTTTATATGAATCAAGTGGCATCCGTGAGAGTAGGACTGAAGTTTACATCACATTTCTCAATCGAAAAAAGTGTACGACAGGGTTGTGTTCTGTCACCCCTCCTTAATCTTTACTCTGAAACGATTTTCGATAGAGCCTTACGTGACACTGAAGATGGACTCAAAATCAACGGACAGACTATTAAGACAGTTTTATATTATGCTATTTTCATGCTAGGCAAGAGCCATGCAAGACAGATCATGGAACTGCGCATGCCCACGGGCTATTTCCATGCAATTCCTGTGCTAGACGAAAAATTAGAACATGTTCTATTTTTCATGCTATTTTCTTGCAATTTATCGTTAAAATTCATGTTGCCGACATAACAATTTGTAATAGATTACAGAATAAAACATAACCTTATCTCTATCCAGGAGCTTAAGGAAAGTGGACTCGTTCATTTAAAGAAAGTTTTTAAAACTTTGAAGGTCTCTAGCATCCAAGAACTCTTGGGGTAACTTCAAATTTCCCAGTCCTGCATTCAACCAAGGTTTGACCCAGCATTTTCTAGGTGTTTTCTTTTTTTATTATTTTTCATGATTGTTGCTACAACAGCAATATTCAACAATAACAATGTTTTCATTTCTTTGGTTGATATCCTTCACCCTTTTAATAACCATAAATAGTGTACATTTATTTATTGTATTATTTATTTTAGTACTTAATTATATTTATTTAAAATAAAGTAACCTCAAATTGATAAATATTTTCTCTGTTGGCAACAATGAAAGTGGGATCTAAAATTGCACAGAAATATCTCTGATGTAAAAAGGTCAAGCTAGGCAAGAGATGTGCCATGCAAGACGGACTTGCATAGCATGAGACTTGCATAGCCTAGATGTAAAGCTGCCTTTAGTAATCTTCGCTGTGCTGATGATAGGTATAATCATAATAGCTGATAGCCAAGAAGTGCTACAACGACTAACAGATAGAATAAACGCTGAAGGAGAACGACTGGGCTTGAAGATTAATATAGACAAGACGAAGGTAATGGTGGTTAGTAGAATACGAAATATGCAATTAAATATAAGAGTAAACAATAAGAAAAAGGTCCCTAAGTTCAAATATCTCATTAGTTGGATAACTGAAGATCTAGATCCAGACAGATGGAGATACGTAGCATGATTGACCAAGCCAGAACAGCATTTACTAATATGAGAACCTTGCTAAGCAACAGCAGCCATAACTTAACTCCATACTCCATACTATATGGTGTAGAAACAAATGTGATGAACCGATTAGAGTCCTTTGAAATGCAGGTATTTAGAAGACTACTTAAAATTCCCTGGACAAATCAGACAACAAATGTCGAAGTAATAAATCTAATGGGCAGAGAACGAGAATTGCTGCTAATAATAAAAAGAAGAAAAATTGCTTATCTGGGTCATATATTTAGAAATTCCAAGTATCAGTTCTTAAAGCTTATTATGGAAGGGAAGATAGAAGGAAAACGGAGATTCGGAAGAAATACTCATGGATTAAAAACATAAGGGATTAGACAAACCTGAAGGCCGATGCATTGTTTAGAGCATGGTTTACACAAGATCGAGAGGAGTATTCCAGAATTGTGGCCAACATCTACTAATTGGATAGGGCACCATAAGAAGAACAAATAAATAAAGGTTATGTTTCGTTGATATGGTGCACTCATTGTCTCGTGAAATAGTCTTGTCAAATATCATTCGAGAGAAAATTATTTACCGACAAAACTATTTTCTGGTTTAATTCAAGTTTGTTGCCTGTTGGCAATATTTGCTTATGAAATTTTGACAAAATCACTCGACTGACGTCTCGTGATTTAAGTGTCAAAATTATACGATTATTTGGTATTTTTTTTTCGATACTCCGTAAATTAATTACTAGACTTTGGCAAATATGCATATTGCACATTTTGCATATTGTGCATATTTTATGCAAATATTTCATATTTTGGCATATTTGTATAAAAGTTTGCATAAAGTGCATAAAAGTTCAGATTTTTATACTGTATTTGAAAATTTTTAAACATACCAATTTATTTCAATTCTTGTATAAAATTTTGTAGTCATTTTAATCAAGAAATGATCTAAGTACGTAATCTCTACAGGTACAAAACATTTACAATTTCAAAGAAGATCAATTTAAGTAGCCCTCAACATTCTTAGAAAGTCTCGGTCACTGAGGCATTCAGTTATTGGATAATCGCTAAGGGTTCGCTCATTTGCATTTTATGATCTAATCCCCAAATCTATCTACAATTTATTGTATCTTAACAGCAGGTAAACGGCTAATAGTTTTGTTCCTAATTTAGGGATTTTCCAAAATCTCCCAGTTTATTGAATTAGGTACCTAAACATTTCTAATTTGATGCTCAGATTTGTAAATCATTTTTGTTTTGATATTCAAAGCGTAAACACTCGTTGTGCGTAACAAAAAGGAAGATTGTGATTTTATAATGCCTAAAACAACCAGTGCTTCAACTTGGATTAAACCTTATAAAGAGCTGTCTATGGATATGGGAAAAATCTACTGTTCAGTCTGTGGCAAAATTGTAAGTATCTAATATTTTCTATTAAATATCTAATATTTCATACATACAGGGTGTTTCCAAATGACACTTACAACGTTTGACTGTAGATACTTCTCGAAAAATTGAACAAAACGATATAGTTAATGAGGGGTCAAACTTATTTACTTTTCGAGATACAGGGTGTTAAAATTAAAAAAAATTAAATTCTTTTAGTTAATAACAACAATAACTTTAAAACCAATAAACGTATTTACTTGAAATTTAGTACTCGTAGGTTGTTTTTAAATGAAAAATAGCTTCCTTTAGTGAGAAAAAATTGTCCATGGTACAATACAATGGTGTGTATTTAGAAAAATTTTTCACCTTTACTTTTTTTTATGAAGTCAGCTATTCTAAAACACAATTATTTCTATTGTAATTGAATTAACAAAAAAAAAACTTTTGTTGAATTTTAAAATAAGTTATATGATGTACTAATGGTTAGTAACAAAAACTAATTTGTGGATTAATACTGCATTTAAAACACTTAGCAAGTGTTTTTTTTTCCAAACCAGTTATTTGATTAACCAAAAACACCTTGTATATTTTTATATTTTAAAGGTTGGGTTAAAATAAAGGTTTTTATTTTTATTTATAGATAGCATGTGAGAAGAAATTTCAGATAGACCAACATGTGAGAACTGCTTCGCACATTGCAAAAAAAGGAAAAATAGGAGGAAAACATCAAACTTCAATGGCTAAATGTTTCCAATCTACTTCAAAAAAATTAGATGAGCAAGAAACTTTTAATGAAGACTTGTGTCGCGCATTAGTGTCTGCAAACATACCGCTTTCAAAATTAGCAAATGTAAATTTTAGTTCATTTCTAAAAAAATATTGCAAACTTAATGTTCCAAGTGATCGGTCTCTGAGAAGAAATAATGTGAACGGGCTATACTCGTCGGTGTTAATTAATATTAAGGAAGAAATTTCAGATAATTATTTTTACATATCTGTAGACGAAACCACTGATTCCTCAGGAAAGTATATTGCTCATTTATTGATTGGTGTTCTTAAAGAAGATACCTTACCAAAATCTCATCTTATTTCATGCCAGCAACTTGAGAAAACAAATGCTTTAACAATTTCGCGTTTTATACAAGAAACATTAGCAACTTTTTTTCTTCCGACAACTATTCCTTCTAATAAATTACTGCTTATTTTATCGGATGCTGCTCCTTATATGGTGAAAGCAGGACAAAATTTAAAAATATTTTTCCCAGATTTAATACATTTTACTTGTGTAGCGCATGGATTAAACAGAGTTGCAGAGGAAATACGAAAAAAGTTTCCTCTTGTAAATACCATGATATCCAGTGTCAAAAAAGTATTTCTTAAATCTATAAGAATTCAACTTTATAAAGAAATGCTACCTAACATTCCTCTTCCACCACAACCTATTTTAACGCGATGGGGAACATGGTTAGAAGCAGCTAATTTTTATGCAGATCATTTTGTTAAAATAAAGAACATAATTGATACGTTAACAGATGAAGGTTCCCAATCTCTTTTGGATTCTAAACAAACTTTTCAGAGTAACTTGCTTCAACAAGAACTTTCATTTGTAAAATCAAATTTTAGTTTTGTTCAAAAAACAATTACTCAGTTAGAATCACCAAAACTGTCATTGTTCGAAAGTACAGCATTAATAAAAGAATTTGCGTCGTGTTGTCGGAACGTTAGAGGTAATATTGGAAAAGATATTTTAAAAAAATTTGAAGCTACTATGGAAAAAAATAAAGGTTACCATATTCTTTCTGAAGTAGTCAGTGTTCTAGCTGGAAATATTTCGGAAACAATTAATTTAGAACCAAATGTTTTGGTTAGTTTGAAAAATGCTCCCGTTACATCAGTTGATGTTGAACGAAGTTTTTCCATATATAAATATATTTTGAACACCACTTGGTCATTTATTGTTACCATAATTCTAAATAAGTTTATTCATACTTAAAAATGATGTAGTTACTTAAAATAAATGTAAATCTTAATGAATAGTAGGAAATATTTAGTTTTGTACACTTTTTTTTTTAAATAAAATTGTTACTATTTTACGATTTTTTTATTTATTTGTATGCATATTTTGTAAAATATTTGCATATTTTCGGGTAAACACGTGCATATTTATGCGCATATTTTCTACATTTTTATTTGCATATTTGCCGAAGTCTATTAATTACAATAGCATACGACACAAGAAAACTCCTGGTCCTGGTAACCCAGCAACTGATTAAATAAACCTACTGCCGTTTTGGTCGTGTCTTAATCGCCGGTATGTTGATGCGTGCGGGCGTGCGCGCACTCAAGTGCCGACCCATCTACTACGTCAACGCTCGGTAGATCTCCAGCGGGACCCGGGATCAATAAAGTTTTAGTTGACAAACGAAATCTAGACGCAAAAACACTGTGTTGGTTCTATTTTGCTGTATTTTGTTTTAATTACCATTTATACTCTAGCGATGAATCAGAGTAAGTTTACAAACAATTTTTATTTTGTTAAACATCGAATTTTATACAAATATTTCGTGCTTTTGTTGTTCTATTACATTTCCTCACACAATGTTGTAATCGATGACGTCACTGTGTTCTAATCGGAGGGATTATGTATTATAGAATAGAGACCTACATAATAGAATGTTAAGAATAGATTTGTACTGGTGGATATTTTTATATTATATTATATAGTTTTGTATTTATCTTTTACAAGGTATATATTATAGCATCTATATGTTATAGTATTATTATAAATGTTTAATATTTATTTATGTATCGATATAATTTAAATTTTCAAATTCATCTAGTAAATTATTTTGTTTTAATTATTTTTAAAACATAATCACGTAAACTAGATCAACAAATTGCGTATTGGGAACAATTTCTGGATACACCCTCCAACTGTGGCGAATGGGATTCAAGGTCAAAGCAACTCTTTGTTTATATAAATATTGCGTAGTTTCTGCATTTGGATTCTTCTTCCATCCTCCATTTTGTCGATATGGCCTTACTAGCTTAGTTTTATGTTTCCAGTAAGGGTTAAAATGGGTTTTGTGGGTAACGAAAAGGAAGTTGAAAGCGATTTTTTTGATATAAATATTGCGTAGCTTTTGATTGTTCGAGTTTTGTTTTATTTTACCCTTCTTGAGGATATAGCCCTATTGTGTTTCCTTTTAGAGATAAAATGGGTTTTTGGAATAGTGTTTTCTTATTTTATCGTCTGATTATAAATATTATTATTTGGTTCTCTGTAGTAGTTTTCCACGATTAGTAATATATTTTACATTCAAATCAGACATTTTAATTTTTTGTTATTAGCTGCAATTAACTTTATGTACGATCGGTTTTGTTACAGCCTTTTCGTCATATAATTCTGCAGCCATTTCCTGATTTTGCATCAGATCCGCATAGGGCTCTTCGTTCTATTGAGACATCACGGCAACTTTGTTCAATATGTTTGATACCATATAATCAATAACATATTTTAGATTCCTTGTATGACATCTAATCCTCGTACGGATGATTAGAAAAATTTCTTCTTGAATTCTTCAGTTTAAGTCTTTTTCTTTATTCTAATTTGTAACCATTTTGTTTATCCATTTTTGTCTTGTAAGTGTTCTAATGCCCATTGGAGCCTGGTTTATAGGTATCTCTTTGCGTTATTACGCAGCTTTCACATCTGTAGTACAGAGTAGGTGCGGCCATTGCCTTTAAGTTTTATCATTCCTATGGTACATTTGAAATAGCACAAATTTTATAGCAAAGGTCTAAATACAGAGTTGGTTAATGCAGAAAAGACGTAATAATTTATAGAAGAAAGTGGCCTAATATTGGATACATTTTTTTCAACCGCTACTTTTTACAAAAAAATAATTCTAGTTTTGTTTTGTTCTTAGTAATTTATTGGTATAACTATCTATTATATTCTGGTAGGATTAAAATAACTAAAAGATACCTATAGGCGATATTAAAATGTTAATAAAAAAAACCCAAATTTCACAGTTTACAAAATAGTCGCCTAATATTGGATCTATCTAGCTATCTATCTAATTAGCCTTCTTCGGTCCATCTTTGGATATAGACCTCCCCAATCCTTTTCCATTCTTCTCTGTCTGTCCTACAGTCATCCACCTAGAGCCCACGTGCTTCTTAATATCATCTACCCATCATTTGGGGCCTTTCTATGCTTTGTTTATATTCCCACGGTCTCCAGTTTATAAGAATTTTGTTCCATCTGTCTTCTTTTTGTCTTATATTGTGTCCGGCAAATTTCCATTTCAATTTTGCCACTTCTTGTCTAACATCCCTCACTATTGTTTTCTCTCTTATCCACTCGTTTCTCTTATCCATTAGTCTTTCCATTGCTCTTTGAGTTTTTATGATTTTGTCCATTTTTGCTTTTGTAAATGTCCACGTTTGAGAACCATAAGTAAGAACAGTCTTAAGATGCTGTGGATATCTTTTGTTTTTAAGAATGTAGCATAGTTTGCCAAATGCCGCCCATACCAGTCCAACTCATCTTATTATCTCTGCTGTTTGGTTTTCTTTGTTAAGTTTTATAGTTTGGCCCAGATATATATATATATATATATATATATATATATATATATATATATATATAATCCTGAATTTGCTCTATTTTATCTTGTCCGATTATCATTGTGATGTCTTCATCTGTATTTGTTATGGTTCTTTCAAGCTTCTACGTCCAGTTCTTTCATCATTTCAAATAATTCTTCTTTTTTTATCGGTCATCAATACGATGTCATCAGCGTACCTTAGATTGTTCAAGCGTTGTCCACAAATTTTTATACCTATTTCTTCCCATTCTAATCTTTTAAAAGTATCTTCCAGAGCCTGATTGAAAAGTTTTGGTGATATTGTGTCACCCTGTCTCACGCCTCTATTTACTTGTATTGATTTTGTTCCTTCATATACATTATTTGTTGTTTTGGCTTCCTTATATATATATATATATATATATATATATATATATATATATATATATATATATATATATATATATCTGTGGTCAATTCTGCTGTTAATCAAAGAACTTTTCAATGCCCATTGTTCGACACTGTCGAAAGCCTTTTAGAAATCTATAAACGCCATATATATAGGAATGTGGTATTCATTTGCCTGAAATTCAGCTGAATCCCTTTCTAAAACCAGCTTATTCTTTCGACATATCCGTCGAATTTTGTCGTTAATGTATTGGTTAAAATTTTTGTTAAGAGTTTATTTTTACATTGAGGAGTGTTATAGGACGGTAGTTTTTTATATCTGCTTTATCCCCTTTCTTGTGTAGGATAATGGTTACTGATTCCCAGTTGTTTGGGATTTTTTTTCTTTTAATATCTTGCTAAAAAGGGAATGTAGAGTATTAATTACCATTTTTCCACCATATTTCAGCATCTCTGCAGTTATTCCATCTTTTTCAGGCGATTTGCTGTTTTTCATTTCTTTCAATGCCTTCGTTATTTCTGATTTGCTTATTTCTGGCTGTAGCTCTGGGTTGACATTTTTTATTTTAGCCTTAAGTTGGTTTTTAATTTCTTCTGGTGGTTCCTTTTTTGTTTTATATAATTCTGAGTAGAAATGGTGGATTATATTTATGATAACGTTTGTTTCTACTCCATTTACATCTTTTATTTTGTTTATTTCAAACTTACCGAATTTCGGCCTTAAACATTTCATATTTTTGTTGTTCTGTATTACTTTTTCTATTTTTATTTCTTGTTCTTTTCTCTTATTTTCTTTAATCATTCTGCTTATTGTTTTATTAATTTCTACATATTCTATAGCTTTCCTTCTTTGTTTCTGTTGATATATAGTTGTTATTTTTTAGATCCTTTTTTGCTATCTCTTTTCCTGATGTAATCATCGTTGCTGTAAGTATATTGTCTATTTCGTCTATATCTTTATTATCACTGTCTAATTTTTGGATAAGTTGTTCTTTTAATATTCTTTGTATATCTCTTTATATTGCCCTAGTTTCTTTCTATCTACTAGATCCCAGTTTTTAATTATTTTTTTTTATTTCATAGTTACCGTTTACCGGGTATCCGATATTAGGGAAAAGCTTATTTTATGTAAACAGTATATTTGTTATTTTGGTGATAACAAAATATCAATTTTATTTCAGTAAGTGATATTTGTATTATCATGATGATGAACTATTATTATAAGTCTAATTTATTAACTTTGTTTAGTAGAAAAGGTTCTACACTTTTACGACAATAATTATAGTCTTACAATAATTTATTTACACTATTAAGTATATACAGTTTAACACTAATTGATTTTACACTATTTACCGATTCTACTACATTTCCGCGTTACAATAATTCAAACTTGATACATTATATTCAGAGTTAAAACTCGACTTGATATTCAAAACTAACTGTAACTTAAATAAAAAGTTTTTCTATATTTATAGAATATTCTGGAATCCCGGCGACCGCTTTCGAATAGACTGGAAGTTCACGCCAGACAGGTTTTTTAGTGGAGCCGAGAACTTCTAGAAGATACCTAGAATAAAAATAGATGTTTACAGTTAGATATGAGTCATTATTTATCGTAACAATATTATTCTGAAAGGTACAAAATTAATTAATATCAACTTAATCCATCCATACAAAATTCGCAAATGAAATTAATGTTGTCTTCAACTCCACTGCAAGCTTCATGACACCATCTGTTGCATTTGCAGCAGCGTATCAATTGTTGTCCAGCTTTGTCGGCAGAAAATAATTCAAGGCGGTGGATACATTCCACATCCTCTTCTTCTTGATCCATGTCATCTTCAGAATCAACAAACGGTATTTCTTGCTTAGACTCTAATGAATCAGAAGAAACGACTTCTGTTTTCCTATTTGTTTTTGGATTTAATTTTTTGCTTGAATCCTTTGTGTAAATTAGTATCAGCGTTTATGTTTTTTTTTTCATTTTCTTTAACTTTCTGCATGTATTAGAGTCGAAGTTTACCACTTTCTTAACACAAGAGCTTTTTTATAAGGCGATCCACTAATTAAAGCAGTTGTACCAGAATTCTTTTGTTTAATTCCTGATGTACCAAGTAAAACAGGCAAAGGTTTTAACTCAGTTGGTTTTACAACATTGCTTATCTCATCAATCCTGGTAGTTATTCCACCAGGTTGAACAGAAACGTCCTGTAAAATGATAATGTGCTTGGGCTTCTCAATAGTGTTTAGAGATTTATTTTAGTTGTTACTATTGTCATCAACAAGAGAAGAATCTAACTTCTCATGGATTGCAAGATCTTGTTCACGAAACCAATCTCTGTCAAATGGCATAATGTCACATTTTGGAAAACCAAATGCAGGAATTCGAGATTTCCATTGATGCTGCCCTTAAATAAGCTTTTCCAAACAAACCACCAATCTGGTACGGGGAAATTGTTCTACCAGGATTATTTCTTGACCAGTTTTCGATTTGTTGGCAATAATATG